GGAGGCAGCGGACAAGCGCGTTGCGGAGAGCTACGGCTGCAAGGAGGGAACGTGCCGAGCAGCAGTGGAGGACGGTGTTGATGACGATGCCCCCGCTACAGGGCCGGTTGGGTTTTTGTCCAAGCAGTCGGGTGACGGCAAACAGTGGGAGGACGCGTACGGCTGTGTGGACGCAGCGGTTCACGGGACAGTGGAGACGACTGCCAACGGACTCAAGTTCGGCGGGAGTGACTCATGGGCGGAGTGGCCCGTGGGCGCGCAGGGGCAGAACCAGCGGTACCACTTTGCAAACACCGCGTTTACGCTTGTGGCGAAGGTGACCATCCACGCTGTGCCAGGGGAAGGCGGCAGCCCCGCTCCTTTGCTGGGCGCGAAGTTGGATGGCGGGGGCGACACTGTGCTCCTGGGTCTCTCGTGCACGAAGGACAAGAAGTGGGAAGTGACGTTCAACAACAAGCGCCTGGAGCTGTCGGAGGAGGATGCAGAGTGGGAGGAGGAGAAAACGTACCGCGTGGCACTGGGGATGGATGACGGTGAGGAGTTGGTTGTGTACGTCGGTGGCTCGCGTGTGTACGACAGCGAAGATGATGAGGAGGAAAACAGCGTTTCTGCGCAGTTGCAGGAGCTGTTGGAGTCGCGCAGCATCTCGCACTTCTACTTCGGCGGGGGCGCTGCGGGCGGCGTTGAGGTGACAGTGGCCGACGTCCTGCTGTACAGCCGCATGCTGAGTGAGGCCGAGCTCGCGGCACTGACGACGAACCCCGCCGCTGCCGCTGCTGCTGTGCGAGAGGAGAACGTGGAATTGCCGAGCCCGGGAGCTGCGCCACCAAGCAGCGACGTGAAGGTCGCTCCTGCGACACCCGCCGGGGACACCCACCTCAGCCCGTCGGAGGAACAACACCAACAGGAAGAAGGAGAGGATGAAGAAGAAGTGGCTACTCAGTTGACGCAGGAAGCAGGCAGAGAGGCAGGCGAGGTGTCAACACCTTCTAGCATCACGCCCAACTCCGACGCAGAGGAAGCAGAAGAGGCGGAGGATGAAAAAGAAAAGAAGGAGGTGGAGGAAGAAGTGACAGAAGGCAATGGCGGTGCATTGGCGCCCCCACCGTTGACAGCACCGGATGCGGCCAGGACTCATCGCACAGACGCAGCTGAGCAGGCCGTCGCTGCGGAAACTTCTGAGCAGCAACGAGGCCCTGCGCCTCCCGCAGACGCTGCAGCCACGGCGGACCCGGTGGGTGACGCGTCTGTGCAGAGTGGGCCCATTGATGACAGCCAGGCGCAGCAGACCGTTCCGTCGCATGCGCCAGAGAGCGTTGGCGGCGTGCCGTCTGCTTCCGCCGCGCCCACCGGCGAGACGCCAAACGCTGCCGTCAAAGAAAATGGCGCAGACCCCCAAACTGCGGCGGACGCGGACGGCGGCCACGAGGCACCCAGCAACGCCGCCACGGCACCCACGGCTCAGGCGCCTGGGCAGCCAGGCACTCCGCCCACACGCGACGCTGCACCGCACTTAAGCAACAGCTCTACCACCTTCAACAACGCCACAGGGCCGTACCCGATGAACACAGAGAGCGACGGCGCTGTGCGTGGGTGCGTATCTTGGCTATTGCTGCTTGCCCTGCTGGGGCTGTGGGGCACGAAGGCTCTCTGCTGAAGGCAAGAGAGGGAGTGGAATTGTAACTCCTCGTGGAGAGTGTGTGCTGCGACCCATGCGGGTCTCTTCATTTATATATCCTGTTTTTCTTTTTTTCTTTTGCCTGTTCCCCTCCTTCTTGCTTATTTGGGATTTGATGGAATAACCAGCACCCCGTGGGCGCTTTTACTTGAGTCCCATTCGTTTCTCTAATGATCACTTGCTATACGCACTGCCATGGCGGCGCACACTTTTCTCCTTTTCGTTTTGTCTGCTGCCACCTACACACTCACACACACACCACCACACACACACTCACTCGCGGTGTCGGCCGCATTGCTGTGCGACGCACGGATTTGACGCAACTGATGGGTTGAAGCGCAGGCCGAACGCCGCAAGGAATGTGCGAGGGGTGTGTGGGCTCCTGCAACAGGCAGTTGTTTCTTTTTTTTCTCTTGTTTTCTTCTTATTCGTGCAGGCAGTAGAATACACATGCACTCTCACGGTCCTCCTGGGCTGCTGGACACGTGAAGGAACGACGCTTGCAAAAGTAATTCCTTTTCTTCTTCCTTTGGGGGTCGTGCGGGAATTCTTCACTCCTCTTCTCTGCCTTGTTTTTTTCTTTGCTTCTGCGGCCTGGGCGATGCCCGCCGCTGCCGTGGGGCTGCGCCGTTCCACGACCGCCACCGTGTGGGGTCGCGCCGTTCTTAACTCCCTCTTCTGTCGGTGTGCCGACACGCCTCCATTTTGCCCTTCACTTTTTTTTTTGTTATTCCCTACTCCCGGACGCAGAAGGAAAGAGATCAAACGCAGCTTGCTGCTGTGCGCTTTGAAGGCTCCGAAGTAACACACACACACACGCAACCATCGCGGCCTGAGCGGATTCATCGCGAGGAGCTAAGGCACGGGTGAGAGAGAGAGGAGTGAGAAGCAGCGGCTCAACATGTCACGGCATATGTTTTCCTCCGCGGCGCTACTGCTGCTCGTCGCGTTGATTTCTTGCGGCAGCTGTGATGTGGCGGCGGTTGCTGCGGTGAGTGAGCCACAACCGACACAACAACCGCCATCGACAGTTGTGCTGTTTCAAAGAACAGAAGGTCAGAGGTCGAACGGAGTTCCAGCTTTGACCGGCCTGACTGAAGGGAAAAAAGTGTACGGTTTCGCCGGTCACTCCCTTGTGCATGCGGGTGGAGTGACGGTGGCCCTCGCCAAGGCCCGCTACGGCCCTGGCCTCATTTCCGACGTTGGGATTTGGGCGACGTGCATCAGCTGCAGCGGCGGGGGTGGGGGGAGTAGCGGCTGCACTCCGCTGGCTACTGTTGCTGATGCTGCTCCTGGAAGTGGGTGCCGGTGGACTAAGGCGGTGCCTAGCGGCAGCGATGAGCAAAGCGGCTCTCCTGTTTTCCGCTACGGCCCCAGGGCGGTTGTGAAGGACAATAAAATACTGCTTCTGCTGATGAGCTACACGGAACCCACTGGGAAACAGAAGCCAAACTCACAGGGAAGTTGGGAGGCTGCGCT